AGAGAGTCCATGGTCTCAGTTGCTGCTGGCAGACAGGGGGTGGTGGTGACATAGTGCAGTAGGTGTGAGCTTTGGGTATAGAACTAGTGATCAAACGTGCATTTGACATGCTTCCAACATAACCTAGCATACTATGAGTTCAGCATAGAGAATTGGCTAATTTGAGTATAGTTAAGTGCTCACAAGGCAATAGTATTTGAAAACACTACTACTAACTACTGGGCATTTGCACTTGAGTGTTTTCTCCCAGGAGACCTCAGGGATGCTCAGCACCTTCTGGTTGTCTTGTCAGCACTGCTTTAGCCAGTTCCAGGCCCAACCTTCACCTTATTACAGGAAACCTGTGTAGGAATGGCCTTCCTTCAGTGTTGTAGGCACGGCTTTGAGTCTCAGCTCTGAGTTAGTTGCATGGTCTTGAGAGAATAGTGAGTCTAGCTTCTATTTATAAAACTTACAGGCTTTGTTCCTATTTTGCAGGTTCTTTTTAAACAATTAGAAAGAGACAGACCACTTAGCAGCATAGCACTGACACACTGTTCACCAGGCTGTGGTGCTGATGTTTGACTGACAGCTACGTGCTGGGGAGAGTTCCCTGTTGAGCATTGCTGGGGTTGAGGTGAGGTTTGACAGAGGTGTCTTCTCTTTCAAACCATTGCAACCCTTCCCCATGTGATAACCCTTTCCTGACTTCCTCTTTAGAAGAAAACTTGAATGAATCATATCGTTGTTCCCCTGCATCTGGAAGGTTGTTAACCTTGGATTCAGTCAACTCTGGACAGAGAATATTCAGAAAAAAATTTTCTGTGTTTGTGTTGATCATATGCAGTCTAATGACTGTTTATATGGCATATACATCATGTTATGCATTATAAATCATCTAGAGATAACTTCTAGTATGAGGGCAGATGTGTATGGTTACAGGCAAGTACACTGTTGTCTGTAAGGGACTGAGTGTAAGTTTTGGTGTCAGATGGTGCTGGGAACTAATTCTCTAAGGATTGCCCCCAGTGATGACTCTATGACATGGGTTCTGCTTTTATTCTGAAGCAGCTAACTTTGATATTTGATCCAGTGAGGACTCTACTGCTACCTACTGACCTTGCTTTAGGCCAGCCTCCACCCTGCAAATAGTTGCTCAATTTCACAGTATGGGCATGAGTCAACTCACTAGGTTTCTGCCCTTAGTCATTGTTAGTAACTAAGCTATGGAAGAAGTCAAGACCTTGCGTTGAAGCTTTCCATTTATAACAGGGGGAAGCACACAGTGCCTGCTAGCTGCTCCCTCCTTAACATTTTGGGTTCTTTAGCTAGACCTGGGTTTTAGGAAGTGTGATTGATTTGCTGGTAGGTGATTCACTTGGGAGCATTGTTCCAGGTGTGCAAAGGCCACATCATGGGACTCAGTATTGGCTGAGAAGTGAGCTAGGTGCCTGAACCTGAAAAAAGGCTCAGGAGGCCCCGTTAAGTAGATGGACACAGAGACTGTGGGAGAGGTGTGTGACCTGGCTGAATTCAGGATGTGTGGGCATACAGGCCAGGGGCTCCTCATACAGGGAACAGTGATACAGTCTTTCAGTTTCTCCAACCAGGGGTTCTTTTCCTCCACCTTTCTGGACTCATAAGTAAATATAATCTGTAATTTTTGAAGCATGGATCCCTCAGGTGATGGCTTCTCCCCATATTGAACATGGGTGTCTGCCGCTCCAGACATTGTGATGGTCTCTAGTCCTCACACTTTCTTTGTTCCCATAATGACAGTGCTGGATCTGGAACTATCAAACTTGTAGACAGAAGCGGGTGCCCTTGCCTCTGCTTTCCTTCTTCCTTAGTTACTTTTATGTTGCTATGATAAAATACCCTGGCCCCCCAAAAATGCTTAAAGTTCCAGCAGGGATGTACTCCATCATGATGGGAAGGCATAGCAGCAGGTGCATGTGGCCTGCTTATCATGTCACATTGCATTAGCATCCTGAAGTAGAGAGGGAGGGAAAGACGACAGGAGGGAAGGAGGGTGGGAGGGAGGAAGATAGGGAGGGAGGGAGAGAGGGAGGGAGGGAGGGAAGGACGGAGGGAGGCAGGGAGAGAATAGGATGTAAGCAGTAGGACCTGGCTATAAAACCCCCAAACCTATGCCCATTGCCACACTTCTTCCAGCAAAGCTCTACCCTCTAAGGGTCTCAAACAGCACCACCATCTGGGGATCAAGTGTTCAAACACATAAGCCTATGGAGACACTTCACGTAGAAACCACAGCATGGTCCTGTAATAGCAGCTGGAGTGGGCTTCCTCTCCGTTCCTTCTCAGAGGTGACAGGGCTGCAGTCCTCTAGGATGCCAGTGGTCTTGAGAGCTCCTGGGTACCATTCTAGCATTTCCTATCTCCTTCCCCTCCATCCCACTTTCCATATGGCCACATTCCTTCTGAGGACTGGAATCCAGTGGTTCAAACCAGATAATTGAAGTCTGGGAATGTTAAGAATGCGGCTGCATTGTGGAAGACTTGCACGTATGATGTTGTGGGTCTTATCCACCCCACCCTCCCCCCCTAAATCAGTCAAACTGGATCTTTCAGATTGCCATGGCACCTGAGACCAGTTTCACTATTCAACTGAAAGCATCTTTCAGTGTTCTAAACATAGGACGTGACTATGAGTTAAGAGTAAGCTGTTAGCAATTGGGGGGCACTCTTTAGGGGACTACAAAGGCGGAGTGGATATGGCCCCACCCATATGACACTCAGAAGCCAGTGTCATGGCTCCCATGACAATCTGTTTCCACCCTGACTTGAGCCCATCTTCTTGGGGGTCTTCCTGGGACCACAGTGTGTGCTCTCCTGGAGAAGACAGCATCCTGAGTTCCAAGAGCAGGACCTGGCTGGGAGCTGGTTCTCTGACTTGAGATGGGTGCCTCACTGATTCAGCTGGGGTAGAGGCTGCCTTCACAGGCCTTTGATCTTCCTTGGGGAAGACTCCAAGCAACAGTTCACAAAGGAATCTGCAGCTCAAACGCTTTGGGGGTTTTCTGTGGTCACTGCTTGACCTGGCTTTGGTCAGAACATGTCCTTTGTGGGTCTCTCTTGTGACCAGCCAAGCTGACTCAGTTACTAAGTGGCCATAATAACCCAGTGAGGCTGAGATTTAAAGAAAAAAATTAATTTTTTAGTCCCCCCCACTTTTAATCCCAGCTGTTACCCGTACATTTTTCAGTCTAAATGAAGTCATTTTCTGTTTTCTCAAGCAGATCAGTGGAATGGAAGGAAAGATCTTCTACAGGTTGGAAGAACAGCAGCAACACAGTATGCCCGCGTGTGTTGTTGTTTTAGAAAGCAAGCCATGCCCAGTGAAATAACTGCCTTAAAGGCTCCCTTCCCATGCTAAGAAGGAGAGGGCTAGGACTGTGAATGACAAGTGACTCTTCTGCCACACCCTCGTGTGTGGCCTTTGGGGGAAACACTCACTGTCTGTGAGCTTCAGTTTCCTCAGAGGTAGAACAATTTGCCCTCAGGTTTCTAGTAAAGTTCCCAGCGCAGTCCTTTATGTAAATACTGCTTACGATAGTGGTCATGATCCGATAATGATAAGGACATACTAATAGTTATGCCTGCAAACTGAGCCAGTCTCCATGTCCCTTCTCATCTGTGCGTTCCTATGTGGTCACATGTGGCTGTCCTCACCACTCACCACTGACTCTAATTTTAGAGGCCAAGTGTAACTGCCCCTCCCCCTCTCTACCTATTCTTAGTTGTTTTTTTTTTCTTTTATTTTGAAACGGGGGTTTTGCTTTGCAGCCCGAGCTGGCTGTGAAACAAACCCGTTGCCCCAGCAGTAAGTGGCTTGAGTGATGGGATGGCTGGTGGCCCCACACCTGGCAGAAACAGGATGTTTTGAGACAGGCACTCCCACACTCACCAGTTCCTCTGTGAAAATAGCTGAGGTTTGCTCAGATGTCACAGGTGGTATGCCAGCTCCTAAGAGCTCACCACATGCATCCCCGAGTGGGGAGTGGGGTGAGCTGGAAGAGCCTGGGGTAGCACAGGTAAGGAGCCACAGCTTCCCATGGGCGGAAAGTACCTGCCGTCAGCTCATCTGAGCGCCGCGGCCGCTGTATCCCACACACTGGGCGAATGCCGTGGATTCTGGGCTTGCTCAGACCTTTGCATCCCCTTGTTTGTCCAAGTGTGTGGCCTAGTGTCCTCCCTTGGTAGTTTCCCCACACTCCTCAACCCTCTGGGTTGAGCACTCCATCACGAGCACTGCCTACCAACACTGCCATTTTGTTGTGAGGCCATTTCTCTTGGAGCTCCTTCAGGCCTGCCTCCTTGGGAACTGTGTGGGGGTTTGAGGGGCTTTTTCTTGCAGCACTGGCCGTATGTATTATGGAGAGGGCAGGCAGGAAGGAGGAGATGTATTCCTGGGGGAATTTGTTTCTAGACGCAAAACTTAGAAAGTAGTGTGACCTTTGCAGTTTACCAAGCACCATGTATACAGTCCTCTGTTCAAGGAATAGGGTCTCATGACCCTTTGTTTTGTTAATGAGAGACAGGGCTGTGCCTCAAAAATGAAGAATTAGGTTGAAAGTCAGTAACAGTGGTAGAGGTTTGGAATGCTGTCTTCTCAGTTGGTTTAATTTTCTTTCTGTTCCCCATCATGTGTCTCTTGGTGGTAACCTGGTCTCCTGGCTGGCTTTGTGCGTCAACTTGACTCAAGCTAGAGTCATCAGAGAAGAAGGAACCTCAGTTGAAGAAATGTGTCCATGAGATGCTGCTGTAAGGCATTTTCTCAATTAGTGATCAACAGGGCACACATGTGGATGTTGGTGGGGGCAGTCTATTGTGGGTGGTGCCTCCTTTGGGCTGTTGGTTCTGGGTTCTATAAGAAAGCAGACTGAGCAAGCCAGGGGAGCAAGCCAGTAAGCAGCACCCATCCATGGTCTCTGCATCAGCTCCTGCCTCCAGGATCCTGCCCTGCTTGAGTTCCTGTCCTGATTTCCTCCAATGATGGGCTCTGATCTGGAAGTGTAAGCCAGATAAACCCTTTCCTCCCCAACTTGCTTTTTGGTCATAGTGTTTGGTCGCAGCAGTGGAAACCCTAAGTAGAACTCACCTGGCACTGCAGTGGTGGCTAAGAACTTCATGTATGCAGAAAATGCGGAGCTGTTCATGTGGCTGGAAAACAGGAGGGAGAAACAGAGAGGGAGCTAACACTGAAGCCGTCACTCCGTCCCAACCTGTGCTATCTGATGGCAACAGCAGACCACAGATGTTGGCTGTGTGTATGCTTCCAATTTGGAATACCCTTACGAAAAGTAAAACATGGCAGGTAAAATTAATGCAGACCATGTTTTACTCAAATATGTTCAGAATATTATTTAATCATGTGATCAACATAAATATTATTAACTGGGCATTTTAGATCCTTCTTTCCATGTGAGATTCGGGATTCTGATGAGAACTTTTCTCCTGCTAGCATGTCTCAGTTTGAGTAGCCACATGTGGCCAGCAACTACAGCATTGTAAGTTCTCAGCATTTTACATATGTTATTTCATATACACGACAGTTTTGTGGAGGGGCAGATTAGGAGGGCAGGTGCCAGTCCTGTGGGAGACCGCCATGGTTCTGCTCTGTTTTCTAAGCGTTATGATGCGGAGCCGTAAAGCAAAGGTGGACTTTGGAATCCTGGCATCTTGATGCATAGCTGTCACTTTCTAGTATTCCCCGTCACCCCTGACCACTAGCAGGGATGTGTGTAATGAAATTATGCCTTTAGTGTCATAAACATTTTTCCAGCCATGTAGTGCCAGTAATAGGCTAGCAACTTCATAGGGTGACTTAGAATTCCATATTATAATTTGCTTATTTCTGTGCATAAATATTTAGGTTGCTTTGATATTTGACGTCACATTTGATGCAACCACCCACTCACGTTCCTTTTTGACTTTTGAACCATGTATTATAATAAACAGTCTTTGTATTTAGCGCCTAGAGAGCACACAGAGTTTTCAGACATTAGTGGGGTATTGCTTATGCTTTCCCACCTTGGTACGACACTCGAGGACTCTGGTTTTGCTAGTTTGCTAGCATTGAGTATGAACATTTATTCCAAGTTGCGTTCAGCTTAACCGAAGGAAATGGGTTTTATATTTGGGGGTCCTTTCCCACATGCCTCTTACAGCATCGCTTGAATGAACAGCTGACCAGTAGGCCTCCTACAGCATCACTCGACTAGCTGAGCGCTGGGGCAGCTGAGCCACAGCCAGCAGGGGAATGCCCTTTTCACCAGAAAGTTGATTAGACACCCTTGCTTTGCAGATTGACCATCGGCCCTTCTGGCTGGCAATGGCATATGTCTAAGAGCTGCCCAGAAACAGGGAAGAATTTTATTCCAAATGGTACACAGACACTGGGAAGGGGTGCTCTGCCTGCTTCCATAGCCCGGTTGCGTATGGCTCTGACAGGCTCCGCAGGCACAGATGTATATACGTCTTTGGATAGATGTTTACTTTTGTGTCTCATTCCCCACCCCTGTCTCCCCCAAATAGAGATAAGAGCCAGTGTGGTAGCTCATGCCTGTGATACTAGAACTTTCATGTTGAGGCTGCAAATTTGAGGCCACTCTGGGATGTATAGCAAGATCGTGTCTCAAAATAAAACAGAGTAGAGGTGACAGCAGTGTCTCTGCAAATATGTCATTGCTGTAAGGATTTTACTGTGCATGCAGAAAGCCTTGAGAGCAGTGCTCAGTAAACACAGGCACAGGTCTGCCTCCCATCTAACATTTCTAGAGACCGCCCCTCGACAGGCTTCTGTAAGTGGAGTTGCAGTACTTGTATTCACAGAGGTGTGTGTGATAGAATGTACTCAGCATTTAACGCCACATCCTGCAGGCCAAGGGCCCTCCGCAGGTGCAGCAATGAAAGAACACTCATTCTCGGTTTCATGTTGTTTTTTATAAAAAGATGTTCCTCTCTTATACAGTGTAAACTGCGGTCATGTTCATTTCAATGTTATTTGTTTCTGTGTACTATTTTTGAGTCCACATTGTAGGTATGGAGGCTACCACAAATCAAAATGGACGGCAAATCAAGATTTTTCTTTTCATCATTTAACAAAGTGTCATTGAGGTGACCAGTGCAAAATTTCATAGAAAGAACATTCTACTTGATATGTTCTTTAGTCTAGTCACTTTCACTACAGGCAGCTTCCAAAGAAACTTCCAGTTTATGGAAAAATGTCATGTGTTTGGCTTGACAGCACTTCTCAAAGACGTCTACAAGAGAAAGGGAAAAGTCATATTCTCGAAGAAGCACAGACAAATGACTGAAGAGGCTCCTACGCCCTCCCCCTGTGTGGGAAGCCCTCCCTCTTCACATCTGCGTTGAGCTGTGTGTCCCCAGGAGCATTCCCAGAAACACCTGGACTGGGTTCTAGCCCTCCCAAATGTAGGCCACCTTGCAGCTGTGATTTTTTCCATCTTTGCTCCTCTCTTCTGGGAGCAGAGACACTTGGGAATGCTGTGATATTTGGGAAAGGTGCTTGGTCATGATGAACTTGTGAATATCTGTTTGAGACGCTAGAAGATTGGTAATTATGATAAGTGGATTCACAGAAGGAGGCTAGGGCTAGGGAAGTGACTTTATCCATTTACACTATGGAAAAGTGAAAGCAGTGGTTATGCCTGGAAATGCCAAGGACTTTCCCCTTGCCCAGATGACCTTGTCCATCATGAAGCATTGGCTAATCCCTTATTCCAGCTCATTCATAAGCCCAAGCAGCTCCTTGCTCTCAGCACCCATCTCAGCCACCTCTCTATAGAAGTGCCCCTTGCTTGAGGAAATTCTTGGCGTGTCTGCCTTTGTTTTGTGCATTAACACTGATTCTGGACATTTCAAAACAGGTAAGACTGTTTTCCTTCTTCAGCCTTCATGCTACACAGATCACAGACGAGCCTTTTGTTTGTTTGTTTTGGATGCAGCACCACATAGCACAGTGGGATGGTTCATCTTGATGGTCAGTTTGGTTGAATGAAGAAACACTGAGGGATTTGTGAAGCACATGTCTGTGTGTCTGTGTTCTGGAGACAGACCATGAGGGCTCAGTCTGATGAATGAGTTTATCCCTTGATGGGATCATAAACTGTAGGAAGGTGGTGAAAGGTACAGGTAGGCGTATTTGGAAGAAGTGCATGATCATGACTTTGTCCTTGGGGCTGCTTCTTGCCATGGCCCCTACCTGTTCTCTGCCTGTTAAGCATGAAGAGCAGCTTCTGCCACACACCCTGCCACCATGGCTTTCAACCACTTGGGGGGCCAAGTGATTGCGGTCCAAACCTCTGAAAGCTTGAGCCAAAGGAAATCCTTCCTCTTGAGTTGTCCCTGTCAGGTATCTGGTCACAGCAAAGAGAAAAGAAACTAACTGGGGATCCACTGGAACTTACGTGCTGTTTATAGTGTGGTTGGGAATTTCCTCTGCTATCTAGACACACTGGCACTATTTATTAAGAAGTCTTTGTTTGCTCCCTTCAACTTCATTGGTACTGCTGTGAGACGTGAAATGACTATAGGTATGTGGTAGGCTTTATAGATCTGTTCTTTTCTGGGTCTGTTGCTCTGTTCTTTTCTGTTGGGTTATGGTAGTTTCACAAGAAGTCTGCAAAAGTCCTTCCTCTGTTCCTTGAGGATTGCCACTTTGGAGTTTTAAATAATTTTTCCTTGGTTTAGAATCAGCTTGTTGCTGATTTCCACAAAAGAGTAGCTGGATTTTGATTGAGTGTGTGCCAAAGCTGTTGATGGAAGTATTAAGCCTGAAACAGAACCAATCATCCATCCACCCCACCATCATGAGCTTCGCCATCATGTGCCCCACAATCATTGGTTTATGCCCTCGAGGAGGTTGAAAAGTCTCCAGATCTGCAGTTTGCAAGCTGGAGATACAAGAAGCTAAAGATGCTGTTATGGTTTGTGTTGGGTCTGAGGATTGGGAATGATGATCAAATGCCAGAAGGCAGAAAATCCAGGAAGAGATGATGTTTCAGGCAAGAAAATCCCTCAGTGGCCCAGCTCAAGGCAGAAGGAATTGCATTTTGCTTGCGGGCAGGTCAGCCTTTTTGCTCTGTATAAGCCTTTGACTGACTGGGTGAGGTTTTCCTCCTGGGGAATTGAAATCTATGTGCTCTGATTACTGAGGTATATAGTAATCTCATCCAAACCTCACAGACATATCCAGACTAATGTTTGACTGGATATCTGGGAGTAGTTAAGCTGATATAAAACTAGCCCTCACTGGGGGTCAAACTGTTTTAAAACCAAACCTTCAAAATCATGAATATAATATATTCTCTTATGTAAGTCTTTTGATAATGCCCCCCAGGATGTTTTGTAGTTTTCAGAAAGATCATGCCCATCTTCATTAAACTTTTCTCCAAATTGAGATGGGACAGTTATACGTGGCATTTGGTCTTGCTCAACTAAAAATGGAATGGAAAATGTATTTCTCAATTATCTGTGAATCTACACTTTTAAGGAAATATAGATGCAGAGGCTTTAGAAGGATGGCTGTCAAGCCTGGCCCTGGTGGTACGGTACATGCCTTTAATCCCAGCACTTGGGAGTCAGAGGGGGGCAGATCTCTGAGTTCAAGGGCAGCCTGGTCTACAGAGTAAGTTTCAGAACAGCCAGGCTACACAGAGAAGCCCTGTCTCATATAAAAACAAAACAGCAGGATAACTGTCAGTCTTGTGGGTACCGGTGAAGTGTAGGTGTTCCTTGCAGGGTGTAACCATGAGTGATTTGGGAGCACTCTTTACTCCTTTGGTTTTCATGAGGACTGTGGGAGACAGAGAGACTACTTTCAGGGAGATATGGCCCTCAGGGTGTGATCAAGGCGTACTGTGACTATAGCAAGGGGTAGAATCAGCCTCAGGACCCAGAACTTTTCCTGAGAGATGCCCTCCTCATGTACCAAAGCCACACTCCATGAGGATGTCTCTGACTGTTACTGAGAACACATCTCCAAGGGCTTCATCGTCCTTGTGGAGACTCTTCTGCTTGGGCCTTCACAGACAATGCTGGAGGGAGAGAATAAGGTAGCAGAGAGGGACAGTAGAGAAAGGCATTGTATATTATATGTATATTATATTATATTAAGTCCTAGAGAATGGAGGGAAACCAGGACACTGTTGCCCACATGGCCTTTTTGATTTGGGCAGGGGCAAATGATTTTATGTGGCAAACAATGCTGCAAGCAGTGTCAAGTGTCATGCCCCTGGTGTTAGCCAATAAGTACTGAAACCTTATTTATCCAAGAGTTTGTTGAGGTTGAGCAACATTAGCTAGTGCTTGTTTTATTTCTCTGCTTCCGAGAAATTTATTAATAGTACTTTCAAAATGGTTCAAAGCTAAAAGAGAAACGATTGATTTTCCCCTCCCTTACGACTTCCTATCACTCTCTTCCTCTTCCCTCCGTTAGTCAGGGTGTGCAGTCACACATGGGGACACAGTCATAGATGAGCTGGCATAGCTCCTGTGAGGTTATATGTAAGTCATAGATGAGCTGGCATAGCTCCTGTGAGGTTATATATAAGTCTTTCAAATTTTTTTACGTTCACTTCCACAACCTAAGCAACGTGCTTGCTTTTTGAAAAAGCTTTTTTGTTTGTTTTTGTTTTGTTTTGTTTTGGAGACAGGATTTCACTATGTAGCCCTGGCTGTCCTGGAACTCACTCTGTAGACCAGGCTGGCTTCAAACTCACAGAGATCCATCTGCCTTTACCTCCCAAGTGCTGGGATTAAAGGGAGTGCCCCACTATGGCCAGCAAAAGCTTTTGTTTTTGAAGACACATAGTGAAGAATTTGCGAATGAATGACTGATAATATTTGTTTAAAAATAATCTAGAAGATTCGGAAATAGATAGGGCTGCAAACAAGAATGTCCATGATTTGCTCACTGACTCTGGTCCTTGGGAGTTCTCTATGTATCATCCATGTAGAGCCATTGTTCTCATTATCTATTTGAGACAAAATTTCATGAAACACTGCTTGTCCTTATATGTGGTGAATCCTGATATTCAACCTTAAAGCTTCTTTTATTTTAATAAGAACTGTTATTATGCTATAACTCTGAGACCAGGTGTGTCAGGATGGTATGACCATGGTTTCCAGCTTGACTTTGAAATAGTAAAATGATGCTTATTTTGGAAAATACTGGTGTAGGCGGAGACAAAATCTCTTGGAGCAGGTAATTGCCACCCACTGTAATGTGATCCTGGGTTGTGTGTAGTGGGCTGGACAGACCCATCCACTGTAAAGTGACCCTAGCTTGTGTACAGTGGGCTGTGAAGTATGGAGACAGAAAGGTCACTTCCTCTGGGAAAGTTAGAAGAGTCCTGTTGGGAAGGGAAACACACGGAGATTTGATGACAAGATAGACATTTGAGCTCAGTGATGAGGGAGGGAGAGGGTTGACCTTAGTTCAGTATGGGCTGGGAAGTAGGGTGGTTAAGGGAGTGACCTTCCAATGAGGGTACAAATAAAAGGAACAGAAGTCACATTGGGCTCTGTGAGACAGCTTAAAGATTTAGCTTTTCTTCTCTGTTTAGGGTTGTAGGGTAAATGGAGAAATGACCCTCTCCCTTTGGACTTTAAAGGTCACTGCCAGTTATGTATACGTAGAGTATGGTGTCTGTGTGTCATGACACAGAGCCCAATGAGGACCATTGCAGAGCGTAGATCTCTAGATCTGTCTCATGTAATTACCCTCCTTCCCTCTGCCATGGGGGTTTTCAGAAGATCCACAGAGACAAACAATTTAGGTTTGCAAAACAAAAATTACTTTACTTTCACTTTCAGCAAACTGGAGGAAATGAGAATGGGCCCTTGCGTACTCTTGCTCCCTCTCCCTCAACAGGGTTCCTTCCCTCTTGCAACGCCAACTGTGGCCATCTGGAGGGCTTTGAGGATATTTACGAGAGGTACTTTTCTAGGTCCTTTCTGACTATTAGACAATAGCTCATCTAATCTTCCCAAAAAAAGCTCTGGGAAATATTACTGCCATCGTTATTTGTATTTTATAAAAACTAAAGTTTGGAGAAGCGGTTTCCTTGTCTGAGGTCACACATCCTACAGTTAGCAGAGCTGGGACTGAGGCGGCTCAACTGCACAGTCTCAGCCACAGTGTCATCTTCACCAGATGCCTAGTCAATAAGTATATGGTGGCTAAGAGAGTTGAGGGGGTTGATGCTGTCTTCAGGCAGACGCTGTCAGAGTGAGCTGAATCGAGGGACATTCTGTTAGAGAACTGCTTGCCTGTCATCTAGGCGGGAAACCCACACAGCATTTCTATTATGAAAAAGACAAGAGACTGGGAGTTTTGGTTTTCTGCTATAGCTTCTCAAAAATCAGCCACATGACAAATGCTGGAAAATAATAGACAGGGTGGGTCCTGGAATCTGAATGTGAACTCCTGACAGCCCTGTCTCTAAGAATTACACCACAGGAGGCTGGACTTCTGTGATACCACCACCATCATGTTAGCTATGGACCCTGGAAAAGAAGCCACTGGAAGCCAGCTAGTGTGAGGACACCCTGAGGAGAGAGAGATGCTGAAGGAAACTTGCTAACATAACCTTTGCATGGAGTCAACAAGGTCCTGGGCACACTAGGGATGTGTCTGCTTGGGGGAGATCTGAAGATGTACTTAAGCAATTTTAAAAATATGATTGTGGAATTAATAATCACTACCAAGTCATAGACAGCTTCCCAAGGGCTCATGTTATATGCAAATATGCATAGGGTAGCCAAGGTTTTGAAATCTGAACTAACGTCAGCAGCCACTTGTAAAAGGGGAAGGGACAGTGCCAACAGCTTAATTGCTGCCAAAGCAAAGAGAACCCACACTTCC